ATTTAAACGTGGGTGTACTGATTCCACTTCTGATCGACTTACATTTTCTCATCAAGTTCAGTGTGAAATGGGCAAGAGAGGTCTGTACGCTGTATATCCTAGGAAAGGGGAAACGTGGGCCCTTTTCAAGGATTGGGATATTTGTTGGAGCTCCGATCCAAAGAACCATAGGAAGTACAAGTATGAAATTGTGGAGATTCTTTCTGATTATGTTGGGGATGTTGGTGTCCAAGTTGGTTACTTAGATAAAGTGACTGGTTTTGTTAGCCTTTTCCAGCGAACAAGGATTACTCTATCTGGTACATTCTTTGTAAAGCCAAATGAACTTTACAAGTTCTCTCATCGAGTTCCCTCTTTCAAAATGACTGGAACTGAGCGAGAGGGTGTACCAGCGGGATCGTTTGAACTTGATCCTGCTTCCCTACCCCTTGATCCAGACGATATTTGGTACCCTGGCAAAGTTAAGGAAGAAAGCAGGACTTCAAATTCTCAACCTGTAGAAGAAGTTTTGTTTGCTGTTCCCCCTGGAACTAGAGACAAATCCAGGACATCTGAGAATGCGACGATATCTCTGAAGTCCGGGGACTTGAAAGGCATCAATGCTACTGATGGTGAGTCTGCTAAGGTTCGAAAATCTCCTAGAGGAGTGAACATCTCGGAGAAAACGCAAAATAAAATGAGCTCTCTTTCTGCCGATGACAATCCTTCCACTGATTTTGACGATAATTGTGTTAAAAAGAACTGTCATTCAAGTCCCAGCATACCAAGTCATTTGTCATGTCAAGCTGATGAAGAGTCGCATTCACACACAAAGAGCTTTGGTCTCGGCAACTCCTCTGGAAGCTCCAAAAATCCAATAACTTTATCAGATGAAAAACGTTTTGAAGAAGTTTTTTGTGATTTTACGATGGACAGATCTATGGAGAAGTTTCAGGTAGATCAGGTATGGGCTCTTTATGGTCAAAATAGTACATTGCCAAAGACTTATGCTCAGATTAAGAAGATTGTTCCTTCCCCATTCAAATTGCATGCAGTCCTTCTTGAATCTAGTGCAGGGCGTAAAACTGCTCCTCAGACTGTTTGCGGAACATTCAAAGTGCAGAACGAAAAATGCCAAGTCTTTGATCCCAGTAGCTTCTCGCACGTGGTGAAAACAGTCTCTAATAATAGAAATAGGTTTGAAATCTATCCAAGAGAAGGAGAGATTTGGGCACTGTACAAGAACTGGAAAAAATCAAGTTTGGATCCAGACAAGTTTGAGTATGAGATAGTGGAGGTCATCGAGAATTCAAAAGACCGGATAAAAGTTTCATCCATGGCGCGTGTGAATGGTTTCAAGTCAGTCTTCAGGTCTCTAAGAAAACAAAAATTGAATCCTGCTATTCTAGAAATAAAAAAAGATGACTTCGGGAGATTCTCTCATCAGATCCCTGCATTTCAGCTGACTGGGGAAAAAGGAGGGGTTTTAATAGGCTGCTGGGAGCTTGATCCTGCTTCAGTACCGTGTTCCCTATAAAGTGATGCCCCAATTATAGTGTGACGAGACTCAAATGTGAATTGGTTCTCCTGGATTTAGAGAGTCTTGGCAGTGAAATCTTCCTCTCTGTTGCACCATATCATCAGTTTATTGTTCGATGGTTGCATGACTTGTAGACATGACAGATTCTTCAGTCTTTTGCTTTACTTCGCTAGAATTCATTGTTAGTGTAAATCTTAAGGATGATGTTCACTACATTTAATAGGATAGTTGGCATTTCACGTGAACCAACTTTTAATTGCTGTATGTTTGCAGCAGCAGCTATTAATATAAATTGGTCCTTTGCTGTATGTCTGGTGAATGAAATGTATCACCGGATGGTTGCAGAAACATATTGCGACTTGCGAGGATATTGGTCCATTCAATGGCATCGTGGTTTCTGTAATCCATCCTCTTCTGCGAGGGGAAAGGGCAACTTGAAAGTTTCAGGCCTTTCTTGTTTTCAATCAGCTTTTCTTTTGATACTCTTTGTGATCATTCCCCTTCAGTTTTGAATTGGATGACTTTGTGACTTGAGAGTTCAGCTATATAAAAAGAAGAATATGTATGAAACTAAAAGTTCCAATGTGAGCCTGTTAACCATATCGTATATTAAACTGGAACTTGGAAATAAATATTCCTTTAAATGATTGGAGCTGAAGATAAAAAAGATTCAATTCGACTGTATCCCCATCTCTGCAAAATAAGTTTAGTTGTATTGATCTGACTATGTCGTTCGTATATTTTTAGAAAAATGTAAACTTATTTCACCAAATTGGGCAACAGGAGAGAAATGAGGACGGATCCGACGTTGCTGCGGAAAGGATGGAAAACTTATCCTACACTTGAAAACGATATTGTAGTTGCGGTTTAATGTTGCAATGTTACTTCATATGAGTTTGAAAGGACTAGTGTTTGGGAACTTGTCAAATTGATCATGCATCAGTAACTGGTACAATGGTTGTTTAAAAACAAACCCCATTAAACAGGTAAAACTGTATAATAAAGTTTCCATGAGCATGTAGGTTCGGAACCCCTGCATACTTTTTCAGTTGGGCTCGTCGCACAGGGCGAGCTATTGCACAGGAGCGGAGTTTACCCAGCGAAGGATAGCGGCTGCGAGTTTACTAGTTTCAGAAAAGAAAAAGGTTCCATGAGCACAATCTCCTTACAACTTGCTGCCTCCTCTCTCCTTTTTATTGCTAACTCACCTGCCGTTAAAGTTGGCAATATTTCACCTCCTAACGAAGCTGAAACCTCGCCTACATAACCTGTCCCCCATTCCTTTTCGACGGTCGTTTCCTTACACTAAAATTGGCTATCAACAAAATTTTCATGTTTATATTTTTTTCTTAAATAGGAACTTAACCAACATATAGCAAAGGAATAGCCGTAAAGATGTAATGAGAAAGTCACGTATCTGGTATTTTTTGGTATGCTATTTTACAATTCATTACCACATGATTGATTTCCTTTTGCTGTCCCAGTCAGAATATGAAGTACATATATCTAGAGAAATCATACAGTAACATCAACTAATTTGGAATTGAAACCTTTGTTGATTGTTTGCTTGAAATATTCTCCACATCGTCCTATATAAATAACTTTCTACTCTTTTTAATTTGGTCCTGATCAAATCTGGATCAAGCACTCATTGATCAAAGGAAGGAGATGATGAAGAACAGAGAGAAAAATGAGCGGGAGAAACGAGCTGCTTTCTCATTGAATGAATTAAGCTACAAATGCAATGAATAGCTAATATATACAACTAACTGCTAACTGCTTCTTTAACTTAACAGTTGTGTACATCTGTCAGACTGTCACTACTAATTAACTAACTGCTAACTTCCTAACTAACAACTCTCACTCTTCAATACCCTCCCTCAAGCTGATGGTTGAAATATGTTCTTCAACCCCAGCTTGGATACAAGATAGTCATGCTGCAGGCACATGATGTGTCTTGATCATTCCTTGAACTATTTTCTCCCAGACAAAGTGACAATCAATGTCAATATATTTTGTCCTTTCACGGAATATAGGATTTGCTGCTATCTGAATGACATCTTTGATGTCACAGTAAAGATCTATAGGCCATTGAATAGTTACTCCTAGCTCCTTGTACAACCCAATCAGTCAGGTTAGTTCTGCAACAATTGAAGGCTTGCTTCTAAACTCTGCTTCAGCTGAACTTCTAGCAACAATGTCTTGCTTCTTAGATTTCCAGGGTACTAGAGCATTGCCAAACTTCACTAGGTAGCCATTGGCATACCTTCTAGTTTGTAGGCATCCTTCCCAGTCTGAGTCAGAGAAAGCTTGTAGTTTGTCTGATTCTTCAGCTGGCATTAGCAGGCCAAGTTCAGGTGCAGCTTTAATATATCTACTCTTAAAGCAGATTTCATGTGTGACTGCTTGGACTTATGCATAAACTGAAAGCACTTGCATTACAAAGGCAATATTAACTCTGTTCATTGTCAAATATAGTAGTCTACCAACAAGACTTTGATAGGAACCTGCATCAGCGAATAACTTGTCCTTAGTGTTTTCATTCATTGACAAATGAATCATACTCAACAGAGGTCAACTTCACATTAGTTTCCAGTGGTGCACCAGTAGGCTTAGCACCTCCAAGTCCCATTTCTACAAGTAGTTCTAGGACATTCTTTCTTTGACTCATGAAAATCCCTTTGTCTGACCTAGCAAATTCTATTCAAGGAAAAACTTAAGCTCTCCCAAGTCCTTCATTTTAAACTTTAGCTTCAGGTCATTTCTTGTCTTCAATATTAACTCATTATAGCTTCCAGTCACAAGGAGGTCATCTATATAGATTAACACTACAACCAACTCATTATGTATGTGCTTTGTGAACATGGAATAGTCAAAATGGCTTTGAGTAAAGCCTAGTTGTAGTAGTGTATCAGTCAACTTCTTATTCCATTGTCTTGGAGTATGCTTAAGTCCATATAGAGACTTATGTAGGTTGCAGACTCTATGATTCCCACCCTGGCTATTAAACCCATGAGGGATATCCATATACACTTCCTCTAGAAGATCTCCTTGTAGAAATGCATTGTGTACATCCATTTGAAATATAGACCAGTGCTTAGCAGCAACAACAACAACCACAGACCTAACAATCACCATTTTTGCCACAGGCGAAAAAGTTTCAGTGTAATCTAGGCCTTCTTGTTGGCTGTACCCCTTATCTACAAGTCTATCTTTGTATCTCTTTACTACTCCTGAGGCTGTGTACTTGACCTTGAACACCCATTTATAGCCAATGAGAACCTTGCGAGTAGGTATATCAACAATACCCCATGTCTTATTTTCCTATAAAGCTGCAATCTCAAATTTCATAGCTACAATCTAGTTGAGATTTTGAGTGCTTCAAGATAGGTTTTAGGCTCCTCAATAGAGGAGTAAGCAGCTAGTGCAATACTGAATGAAGCAAAAATATGATCATAGCTTATATAGTTGGATATAGGGTAGCAACAATTGGCATTCCCTTTGCCTTGAGTAACATAGTCTTTCCGCCAATGAGGTGGCTTGCTAACTCTGACTGACTTTCTGCCTATGTCTGATTCAGGCTATGTGGGAGCATTATGCACTGTTCCACTGGGCAGTGCATCCATAAAAGCAGCTGGTGAACTTTCATCAGAAGAGACAAGCATGTCTGAAGGGGCAGTAACTTCTTCATTGATTGCTATGGTAGGAGGTGTAACTGGATTAGGGATATCTGGCATGTGCTCTGAAGTAGGAATAGTAAAGAAGTCTAGTACATGAAACAAGGAAGTAACTAGAGTGTTCAGGTATTGAAAAGAAAAAACATCTTTCTTGAACACCACATCTCTACTGACTAAGAAGCTCCTTGAGTGAATAGTGTACATCTTATACACCTTCTGTGTCATAGAGTAGCCAAGAAATACAGCAGGGACTTCCCTAAGAGAGAATTTATCTTCCTTCCTCTAGGAAGCTAAACACCTTTAGATGATCTAAACTGGAGGCTTACCATGGAGCATTTCAAAAGGAATATTAGTTTTGTCTTTAAGGGCTAAGCTAGGCAGCCTGTTAATAAGATATACTGCTGTGAGCACACACTCACCCCAAAATATAAGTGGAATTTCTGCTTGAAACCTCAAGGCTCTAGCTACATTTAGAATGTGTCTGTGCCTCCTTTCTGCAACTTCATTTTGCTGTGGAGTGTAGGTGCAAGAGCTCTAATATACTATGCCTAGACTTTGTCGTAGGTCTGTCATCCGAGAGTTAAAACAACTCACAACCATTGTCAGTTCTTAGAAACTTTACTGTGGAGGAGTATACATTCTTAACTATAAGAAGGAAATTTCTGTGAGCAAAAAAGACTTCAACTATAGAATGTAAGAGAAAAATTCAAATATACCTAAAATGATCATCTACCAGAGTTAGAAAGTACCTTTTCCCATCATGAGTAGGTACTCTATATGTCCCCCAGACATCACCATGAACTGTATGAAAGCAACTAGTAGAAATAGTAGTACTCAAGGAAATGGTAGCTTTATTTGTTTAGCCAAAGTGCATATTGTACAATATTTATCAGAATTTGCATTGTCAATAGTCCAAAATATAAGTAATTTCTTTAGAACATTAAATGGCATATGGCCTAGTCTCTTATGCCACAAGGCTACATTTATTCTACCATCCATCTCCTTTATTGTATTTATAGCAAGTGATGTTGAAATGTCCTTTTCTGAACTATCCACAGACTGTAGTCTACTGCTAGAAGTGATCCTTACCAATCCCTTTCACCTTACCACTGAATAGATCCTAAAAAATACATAAATCAGGAAAGAAACAGAATGCACACTTCAACTCTTTTGTTATCTTTGATATTGATAATAAGTTGTACTTGAACTCTGGGATATGCATGACATTAGTTATCATCTGTCTTGGGAAGGTATAAACAGTTCCTATGTGCTTAACAGTAGCTAAACTTCCAATAGGTAGGAGCATTTTTCCTTCTCTAAACTTATCACAGGGTTTAGAGTCAGTCAATGAATTCATACTTCTAACCATATGATTAGAGGATCCTAAATCTTTTATCCATTTAGTGAATTAAACAGCCACATCAGTGACATCAGTAATAGTTATAGCATCATTGTCCATACCTACTGCTATAGCTACTTCATTACTTTCACTTTTGTTTCCTAGGAGCTGAAGAATCTGTGAGTATTGTTCTGGTGTGAAGTGAGGTAGTGTCACTGAGTTACTCTTATTCTGACTATAATATGCCTCTTCAGCAGTTGAGGTGCTTCCTGCAAAGTTAGCTGTAGTACCTTCAAAGTTTCCTCCTATTGGACCAAGGTTTGAAGCTTTATTTGTTCCCAGCATGCACACCTTGACTCTCTTTTGCAAAGTTCCCTGCAGGGTTGTACTTCTTTTTTGACTTGAAGTCTGGTGGGTAGCCATTAAGCTTTTAACAAGTATTTCTAGTGTGACCTTCGAAGTTACAATAGTCACAATACAGAGTATTCTTTCTTGT